CTTACACCTCTGACTTCCACACATATACACAGTTAACGTATCAGAATGTCTTGACAGAAGGGAATTGGACTTTTCTTTTTAATAGCTATTTACTGGTGATTCCATTATTCTTAGCATCTCTCTTATCCCACAAGTTGAGGACTATTGATTTGGATTTTCTGTAGGCCAAATTTTATTTCCATTATTGAAGATATTTACCATTCTGGATTCTGGAACAACATGGAGAAAGTTGTTGAGAGAAATAGTTCATCCCCTTATAAAGAAGAATTTCATAACTTGTGTAACTTTGTAACTTTACAAAGTCTATATCCTGCAATGGGTATAGACTGCCCTGCAAGACAGGAAAGTCTCTGTCTCTGGAAGTGTTTACACAAGAGTTGTATGACCAACTGCCAGATGGGAAACTGCATGAACATGAGACAGTGACCTTTCTCCCCCCTTGAGAGCTAGGACACGTGGTGACATGATATTACAATTAACTATGTGAACTATATATAAACAGTGAATGTGTGACAATGAAAATCTCAGCAAACATCAAGCTTTGCTTCGTGTTCTGGAGAGATTATATTACAGGTAAATACCTGTGTAGGAACTTCTTAGTGACAGACTGAATGATGTGTGATGAGCAGCTGTCCAAATAGTGTACTCATTCCTAACAACGATTCCATTTCAGTTGTCTAAGATGACTGAGAACAGTACCAGTGCTCCTGAGATTTCAGATAAAACTTAATACTGGCATGTTAAAACATACATTGCTCTGATATTCAATATCTTTAAAATAGAATATCTTTACCAGATTAGAACAAAGTAATGAAGAAAAGCAGACTTAACCTATAGTATGGTCAATTTTATTTTAAGGGTCGTTGGGAAAATTCCCCATCTCAAAATATCTGTTTTATTGCTGTCCCTGGCTTTACCATAGCGAGTCATTCTTTTGTGTCAAGCATGGTCATCCTTCTGACCTTGACACAAAGTGAGGGAGAGAACTAGGCTAGGTGTCAGGGTTCTACAAGGCCAGGTTCCACTGCAGGGAATTTCTCACCTGACACCATGGGTTATGGAGTGAAAGATACTATGTTCTCTGCTGAGTGAAAGAAAAGACTCAAAGTCTAGCAAATGAGAAGCATGACAGAAACATACTAATTAGTATACAGAACTTGAAGTAGGGGCGGGTGCGGTGGCTCACGCCTGTAATCCTAGCACTTTGGGAGGCCGAGGCAGATGGATCACTTGAGCTCAGGAGTTCGAGACCAGCCTAGCCAACAAAGCGAAACCCAGTCTCTGCAAAAAATATAAAAATCAGCCAGGTGTGGTGGTGTGCACCTGTAGTCCCAGCTGCTTGAGGGACTGTGGTGGAAGGATTATTTGAGCCCAGGAGGCAGAGGTTGCAGTGAGCCAAGATCGCTCCACTGCACTCCAACCTGGGTGACAGAGACTCTGTCTCTAAATCAATCAGTCAGTCAATCCAACTTGACATAGGAGCCAGAAAGTAGGGAACAAACATCAACAGGATTGTTCAGGTGGGGAATTGTCTAGCCAGGCTTATTTATCTTCAATGTTTTTTATAGACCAAATACGGCAGTAAGGTCTGCCATGTTTAAAGGGCCCAGAATGTACCATACATTTTAGAGGGCAAAAGGAATGGCAAGAAGGAAAGAGCTACAAGAGAGGAATGCTAATGGAAAACTTCACTCTCCTCTCATGACAAGATACATATCCCTATTTGAAGACTTCTTGTTTGTTTTGAAGTTATCACAATATTAGTAATTATTTTAAGAATGTAATTTGATCTTTTGTAAAAATGAAAGAACATTTTGTCCCAGGTTTTTCTTTTCAATAAATTTGGGAATTTAACTACCGTTAGTCCAATTTATTCAGGATAATTTAGATTCTGCTTTTCGTAGACTTGGTTAAGGCTGTAGCATAGTATCAATACAAAATCTGGTCAGTCATTTCAGTGCAAGAATGCTTGTCAAGACTTTGTTTCAGGGTAGCTTAAAGGGCTCACACATATTTTTAGTTAATAATCGCCCTGCCATTGATTGGTTTGTGTTTCATCAACCTGATTGATTTTGTTTTCTTATTTATACAATATAGGATTTGAAAGTGGGGTTAGAGGTCACAAAGTGGTGACCTGTGAACTAAAGTAAGCCAACAGACTGTTAGTTTGACAAAGATACTGAGTTTTTCCTTTCCTTGCATGTGTGTAGTTTTAATGAATGCCTTTCAGTAGAGCATACACAATCATTTTGCTTGGGAACCCACCAGCCCACCCCACTGCTGATTTCAAGCAAGACTCAATGTCTGTATCCCCTGCATGGCTCTTGAAAGCATTTGAATTTGTGGCTCTTGGGTCAGGCATATTATTCAATTTCTTTAGGCTCCTAAGGCTTTAATTCTCCAAAATATCTGACTGAATTAAATTTATTTTTTCCTTCTTTTCTCCATTAGTTGAGAGACAGATTGGATGGAAGGAAATTCATACATGGTGAGGTCCACCAGGTATCAGACCCCCCTCCCCACACATTCTCATTTAATCCTCAAAGCATCTCAGTGAGGTGGTCATTATCATACACATTTTAAAGGTGACAAAACAAGGTCAAATAATCTAATATCTTGCTCATTATCAGAAGTTTATTAATTATGGGAATTGCCTCCAAAAACCTCCTGATATCCTCATTTCCCTTAGTGAGCAGAAACTTTCTACAGAGATCTTGTGAATAGTAATAAATCTTTGCCCAGACACACAAAGGATATAAAATGTCCAAATATCTCAAACTGTTTATACAAAATATCTTATTTGCAGGCTATATTCTTTGACCAGTAGGGAATTGTATTTCTACTGTTCTTGGGAACATACTTGACAGAAGAGCCACACAGAATTTAGGAAGAATCATCATTAGAGGGCATTTGACTTTCATTCACACATTGATATGACTTTAGAAAATATATCACAAAATCATTCAAACTTGAAATGTAAAGATATTTTATTTCTAACACTTTACTGTTTCGCCAAAACTATCTTATAGATTCAACCTTGTTTGTACAAAATAGCACTAAAACTGCACATGCTTTGAAATAGTACTCTACTACCTAGAAACTTTATTTGACAGAACAGTTCTAGTAAGAAGTTCAGATATGTATAGGCATAGAATAAATGAAGACAAAATGAGTGTTAGTATGATGAATGAGCAGAAGACTTTGAGTAGAAAACACAAAGTTCAGTTGTGTTTTATTACAGAGTTGCATAACATTAATTCTGCTAATATAGACACAAACCATATTTAACATAATTTCCATACTATGTGAGTCACTTAATCGACTTTTAATAAGCCTGGTGGCCAGTAAATATCCAGAAGAAGAACGTATATTTTCAAAAGGAAAAAGAAGAAAATGAGGATACATTAAAAATAAGTAAAATAAAAGAGTATCTACAAGGGGCAGTTTTCTCTAATTTCTAAGCTTTGGGTTAACCAGCATTCTTCTAATTGACCACATTGAGCAAATGAGTTTTAGTTTAGTTTTGTTTTGTTTTTTTACTTTAAACAAGCAGTGCTCAAATTTACAGGCAATATTTTTTGCAAATGCAGTGTGAATTAATATGATACATATTAAAGCAATTAGACTGTCAAGTTTCACTTTTAGTGATTGGGGTTTCGGGAGTAGAAAGGGGCACAGAAACTGTTGCCCTTTTCAAATAACTCACAAATCTGCTAATTATGTGTCAGATATGAAAGTTAAGGCATTGTGACCTTCAAGCCAATAAAAGACCTTTTCAAGTAAGTCATCCCCATATACATTAATAAAGTGAACAATGCCCTTCAACAGTTAAATAATGTATGCCTGTTACTTCATTATACGTGAATGAAAACCAAGGAGTTATTTCACTATTGGAATGTTAAAAGTAATGTTATAAAAAAAGCAAAGACTGTAAGTCAGTTTAGATAACATTTTGTGATCTCTTAAAATAGTGATTCAAAGTCGTATATTGTTTATTTCCACTGCATGTGGCTAGTGTGTGGTTTCTCCGCAATGGCTGTATTTTAGATCTTAACAGGAAAAACTGCAATGTGTTAAAGTATAAAGCAACTGACACAGATATTTTTAAAATTAGAAAAAATACTGTTAAAGTATCTCCTTGCAGTGATAAAGACAGTGATATATTTTGCAGATCAGAGAAAACATTTCTTCTGTCCATAAACCTTACTGTGCTAGTAAGAAGAATGTTGAACAAGAGTGGGGTTCAGAGAAGAGAAAATCATCTCACACTCTTTATCATGGCTCTTTCATGGTCTAAAGAAAGTATCTGTAAATCTTGGAGTTAGGTCATGGACATAATGGTAATTAAAAGAGCACTCATTTTGTTGGAAGAAAATGTAAATTTCAAAAGCAATAATATAAGAGAAATTTGGGTATCACTAATGCTTGAATCAAATGCACTGCTGGAATGTCAAACAGTACCCCTGAAGTTATAGTAGAAAGAAAAGAACAGGAAAAAGAAGTTAAGTATCTTGTATTTGTTCGGCTTTGTAGTATATTTGATGCAAACAAAACATGTATGAAGATACAGTCATACTTAATGCAACTTAAATATGAGTAATAGACTTCTGGGAAATAATAAACCAATTACAAATTTAAAACAAATCACAATCCTATGAGATTCCAACAATCTTTTAGCATTCAATCCATAGATAAACTTTCTTCCCCAGTCTCATACTTCTTATGGGTTAGATGTTGATACCAAGAGACTGCATAGGGTTTACTGATTCACTCTCTAGTCTCTCCTTTTCATATTAAACAATTATCTAAGTCCTTTTATTGTTATTTGCTTTACTAGATTCTCTGAATTCTTTCATTAAATAGATACCAGTGATGTTTTCGAGAATGTTACTTGTTACTGAGTTTCTCAATGAATGTGTACATGTTCTTGTTCAGTAAAAGTGTTTCTGCATTTCCTTGATAATCTAAAATAATTTCCATTATTTTGGATTGTATTTAAGGTGGCAAATCTTGCTTGTTCCATGTCAACAAATGAAGATGGAATTAAAATTGTCAAAATTGCAGCCAGTCATTTGGAAACCTTATGTCCACAGGTATGATAACTAAGTTACTGTCTTTTGTTTGTAAAATTACATGTAATTCCTAATGCTTTTATGCATATGAAAATACACTAATCTTTTTTATGAGACCAAATCTCACTCTGTCACCTAGGCTGGAATGCAGTGGCATGATCTTGGCTCACTGCAACCTTCACCTCCCAAGTAGCTGGGATTACAGGCATGCACCACCATGCCCAGGTAATTTTTGTATTTTTAGTAGAGACAGGGTTTCAGGGTTTCACCATGTTGGCCAGGCTGGTCTTAAACCCCTGACCTCAAGTGATCCTCCCATCTCAGCCTCCCAAAGTGCTGGGATTACAGGCGTGAGCCACCGTGCCCGACCAAAATGTTTATTTGGAGTATGGAGGACTGAATTATCCTAAGGTGATTCTTAAAAAGGGAGTAGAGAAAAAGACTGACATTCCTTAAGTGGCCATATTGGAATCTCCTGAGGCAATGGTGCTTTGTCCAAATGATTTGATTTATTTTTGTGATTGTTTTGATATTTCGAATGGTTTGAAAGGATTGACTCTTTTTCTTTTATCAAAGAAGGTATGGGTTTAAAAATAGTTAGGAAGTATTTTCTTGTCAGCAATTCAGATGTTTCTTAAAATCTGAAGCTCAACATACTTTTAGGGAATTATTTCTACATGACAAATCATTTTGAAGCCATGAATCAAGATACACATATGGCAATCTTAAACACTCTTGTCTGAGAAGAAGCAGGATATAATATGTATGCTTTCTAATAAAGACCACAACTATTACAAGGATGAGAAATATAACAAACATTAGGGACTTTAAGTCTCTGGATACCTGCTGAGATTCTCATTCTACAAAAAGTAAAGGATGCGTTAAAGTCTTGATTTGCCTTGTTGACAATTTCATCTCTAAGAATATTGAGGAAACTGTGAGGAAAACTGGTTCTTTGGACTTAATGTTGATTAATAAGTAAGAACTAGCTGGAAACGTGGGATCTATGGGACATGCAGCTGAGATCTCCCAACTGATGTGAATTTTCTATGAAACTTGAGAGGGAACAGATCTGCTACGAGGTCTCTAAAGTAGTTGAATGAAATGTACTCCCATCAACACTCTATGTGTTCTCATCTCTGCATATTGTGAATATCGCTCAAGGTTATCACTTTTTAAAATGCCTTTTTAATCTGAAAAGTATTAAGTATCTCTCATTGGTTTTAACGTGTAATTTTCTGATTCCTAGTGAGAACATTCTTTTTGCAAAGATTTATTGACTATTTGGCTTTCTGATTCTGTGACTTGCTTATATCCTTTTCCAATTTTCCAATTTTAGTTTGGTTGTCTTTTTCTGTAGTTGATTTGGTAGACTTGTTAAAAATATCTCTGTTGCCCAGGTTTTTAAAAATAACTTTTCAATAATTTTTTAGTCACAGAAGATTTTGAGAACTTTTATGTAAACATATGATTCACCTTTTAATTATTTTAAGAAATATTTATGAAGTACCTACTGTGTGTCCTGGTTTGTGGTTTTGTGCCTTGTTAAGAGATCCTGCCAACAGATTTGTCACATATTTCCAACATTATGTTGTTAAAAGATTAAAGTATCATTATTCAAATACAGATATTTATTCCTTCTGAAATATATTTTTATATCTAACATGAGGTAGAGATCATTTCATTTAATAATGTTGACAATTGGGCCACCATCGTATATTAAATAGTTGACCCTTTCTCAATTACTGTGAAACTCTACCACTGTTTCACACACCACCCACACAGGCTTATAAATATTTCCATTGTCTCATATATATTTGTATACACCTGTTCCCAAATATTTATAAACTTAAATACATGCACACATGTACAACATGATATAATACATTAAATGTATAATATATCAATATATAGTTATTTTTACCTTGCTCCACATGTAAAGATAGGATGATAGGCAAAGTGAAACATTTCAAGGTACACGAGTTTCTGGACTTTCTGTTCTGTTCATTGGTCTATTTCTCTATCCCTGCAACAGTATCATAATGTCTTAAGTATGGTTTTACACTAAGTCCTGATATCTTTTAGGCAAAATGGCTCATCTGTTTTTTTTTCTTTAAATTATAGCTGTCAATTTTTATTTTCATATAACTTTTGAGATTAACTTATCACGTATCATGAAAAAAAATTAGAATTTAAATTTAAAATATTACAATTTTAGATTATTTTAGAGAATGACTCCTTTAAGATATTGAATCTTTCCATTAATAAACATGTATCTACAGCAATCCTTCTTGTCCACTGTTTCGCTTTCAGTGGTTTCAGTTACCCTCATTCAACTGTAGACTAAAAATATTAAATGAAAAATTCCAGAAAAAATCTTTTAAATTGCATGTCAAACCTCATATTGAGATCAAAGCTTCATCTGTTTCCGTCCCACCCAGGATGTGAATCATCCCTTTGTCCAGCATATTCATGCTGTAAATGCCACCTTCCTGTTGTTCACTTACCAGCCATCACGGTATCCGATCAACTGTCGCAATATTCATGTTCAAGTAACTTGTATTTTACTTAATAATGGTTCTAAAGCACAACAGTAGTGACTCTGGCAATTCAGATAGGCCAAAGAAAAGCCATACTCTCCTCCTGTAAGTGAAAAGGTAAAAGTGCTCACCTAAATTAAGGAAAAAAAAATTGTATACTGTGGTTGCTAAAATCCATGGTAAGAATGGATACTCTATTTGTGAAATTGTAAAGGAGGAAAAAGAAATTCATGCTAGTTTTGCTGTCACACCTCAAAATGCAAAGGTTATGGGCACAATGCGTGATAAGATAGAAAAGACATTAAATTGGTAGGTAGAAGACATGAACAGAAAGTGTGTTCTTATTGATGGCACTGGGTTTGGTACCATTTGAGGTTTCAGTCATCCCTTGACTGGTCTTGAGATGTATGCTCTGCAGAGAATGGAGGACTACTATATCTCTGTAATCAGATTTTTAAAAAATGTGTCCTTCAGAGACTCTTTAGTTTTTTTTTAATTTACTTCAGTAAACCTCATGGTTTTGAATATCTTCCACATGCTGTTGATTTCCACATTTTTCTCTCCAGAGCAAATGTCCCTCCTAAAAACCAGACTCACATATACCTAATGTTTCCTTTAGCATCTCTACTTTGATACCTGGAAAACATCTAAAACTTAAAGTAGCCTAAATGAAACTTCTAATTTCTCTGTCTTTATCTTGTTTCATTTCTCCTTCAGTTCCTAGTTTAGTTAATGACATACCCATTCACCTAGTTGCTCTAGCGAAAAACCTGGGAGGTTTTCATTCATTCATTCTTTCATTATTTATTTATTGAACATTTACTATGTGGTAGGCACTGTGAATGCATCTGGAGAGAAAACAGTAAAGAAAACAAATAATAAACAAAAATGCCTGCTTTTGTGAAGCTGATGTTCTAATGATATCTAATGGTTGTTTTTCCTACCTAATCCATTAACAAGTCCTATCATTTCACACACAAAAATCTACCTTGAATCTGTATACTTCTCTCCATCTTGTTTGTCAACATCTTAGCTTATGCCACCATCATCTCTATCTTGGACTACAGAAATGCAGACTAATTTTATAGCTTAATCAGACCTATATGCTTTTCCTACTGCCTAACTTCCAACCCTACCCCATAGTAGTATATTTTCACTCAGTAGATCTCTATATAGTTCTTTTTCTGTTTCTGGAACACAATAACCCACTTCCCACCTGGGGAGTTTGTGCTTGGTAATTCTCCAGTGTTTTTTTCCCACATGGTCATATAGACAGCTTCTTTTATGTACAGTTTACAAGGATTCAGCTTAAATATCATCTTCTCAGAGATCAATCTCCCTTCTCCGTAAATCATTCCTCCAGCTATGACTTATTATGTTACCATAGTTCTTTATTTTAGAGTCTGTATCACAACCTGAAGTTATATTTTATATTAATTTTTACCTTTATTATTTATATTACACACACAGAAAGTTCATGAAGTCAATTATTCGATCTCCTTTATTCACTATGAATATCCCTTGTACCTAGCAGAAATAAGATATATAGGATGTTCAATAAATATTTGTTCAATATATAAATGAATAAGAGGATTACTAGAATGACAAATCATTCTATATTCATAGAGGGCAGGGAGGCTTTTGGCAATAAATTCTTGATACTTTTCTTAACATAGTGCATCTTATTTTTGATAAGATGAAAAAAAATATGACAGTATAATTACTTTGAGCTGTAACTAATAGAAAAAAACCTTTACAGTGGCTATTTTATATATAGATACTGACCAAGAATGACATCTAAATATATAGGCTAGATTGATTTTAGAGTGAATCAGGTAAATCCTGGGTCAGGAGGAGCTGATAGGTTGGCCCCGAATTCCAGTTTGTAAGTACAATTAAAGTCACCTAGGTTTCAGTGAATTGAGTTGTTATGGTTCTTACTGTGTGCAAAGGACCACAACTGTAAACTTGGCCCAGTTATAGGTATCATCCTTCAAAAAAGATTTATCACTTGGAGCACACTTAGCAGAGATATTTGAAATAGTGACATGAGTTGAAACTATGTCATATGAACATCTCAGAAAAGCAGTAGGGAATTTTAAGCCAGGAAAAGGTAAGATCTGGAGAAACACAATTACTCTTATTGTATCTTTAATGGACTATGATGTGAGTGACTTGTTCTGAAGGGCCCCGAGGGGTAGAATACAACCTATGAGCAGAAGTTAGAAGAATGCAAATTTTATCTCAAGATAGAGATGAATTTTTTTTTAACAGAGCTATCCTGACAGGAATTGGACTTTATTGAGAACACAGGATTTGAAATTTTTCAACGCTATAGACATTTAACACAAGGAGAGTGACTACTTTACCAAGATATTTTATAGAGGGCACAAACAAACTTTGGGTGAAAGGTGGGTCTAGAAGCCTTTTGAAACCCAATCCTGAGATCCTCTAGTGGATCTATTTTACAAAAGCGAGAAA